ATAAAAATTTCACTCCAGAGATCGTTGAAGAAATCGTTAAATCAGAGAACTGATCGCTACGAGAATGATTGTAATTCCGAACCCACTTCTCTTATATACTGAGCTGGTCTTTGTATGCAATCAATGATAAAATATTTTCGGCTACTTGGCCTGCTTTCTTGTCTATGAACTTTGATAGGTTTCGTTGTAAAATTTCTAAATGATAATTTAATTTTCACTAAAAAATCTTAAATAACGAGTTTGCAATTATAATATCTATGTTATATTATTAACTTTGAAAGTAAATTAATTACTTTGCGATTGTTTTGAATTGGTTTAAAGATATCTTTTTGGAAATTTATTACAAATTTAATCAAACGATTTTTGATACAAAGTTTGTGTTTTATTGTGACATTGCATTTGAAAAACAGACTTTTTAAGAAAATGGAGAGTTGGAGCTGTGGTACAGGCGGTGGCTACTCTGAAGAAATAAAAATTGATTTATAAAACGAATAGGAATAAATTTTTGTAAACAAATGTGTTTTGTTTCAACCATACAATATCTTTTATTGATGTTTGTGTTGTTCAAGACAAAACATCGTTATTTCCTAAAATCCCCTTTTTTATTTCTCGATTTACGTGTTATCATCTTCATGTTTCATCTTTCTGTTTCTGTTTTGATGCTCTTGTACATTTTTGAAGCAATGCTTAAAATCAGTTAAACCGCTTCCTAAGTGTGGCTTGAAAATGTTGTTGAATTTTTCACTAAGTTTAGGCCTAAGCGTCTCCAAAGTAGGATGTTTTGCACGCAGTACTCTGTTCCGTCTGCCAGTGAATTTGGTTGTCCACTATGCCAGGCACTCGTGTTTTGAATTAGTTTAAGATGTCTTTTTGGAAATTTATTACAAATTTAATCAAACGATTTTTGATACAAAGTTTGTTCTTCTACCATATTAATAATGCCTTTTACGCTCAATGATTTTTGCTATTGAACTGCTCTGTTAACTAAAACCGTCATCGAGTTTTCTTTGTTTATAAATTCACGAAGATAAAAAATTCTATAACAATTCACGTGCTTATAGAAAAATTTGTTATAACTCGTAGTTTTAAAACTCTGCTCAAAACTAAGATTTCCGTTAAGAGCAATATCCATGCATTATCCGTCATCGTGATCATAATCATCGTGATCATCATCTATCATATTAGTTACCAATTCTATGTCACTTTCATCTTGAGCCTTTTGTTCTGTGTGTGGCTTATTTCCATCAGTTGCTAAGCTTGTAGAACATGACTCACTATCATTTTTTTCTAAAATCAAATTATTTTTTTTCACGGTGTTATCATCATTGTCGTCTTCTTGTTTTTTTTTGTGTTATCAGCAAAGTTGAAAATCATTTGTACATTGCCTAAACTCAGTTAAGCTGCTGTCAAACTGTGTCTTTAAAGGTACGTTTAAGTCTTTCCTAATTTTAGGCCTAAGCCTATCTAAGATATTTCTAAAATTTTTTGCAAAACTGTGAACTCCGTTAATATGGCCATATTCAGACATTTTCACTTTTTATTAATAAAAGTTTTCACTCCAGAGATCGTTGAAGAAATCGTTAAATCAGAGAACTGATCGCTACCAGTAAGATTGTAACTCCGAACCCACTTCTCTTATATACTGAGCTGGTCTTTGTATGCAATCAATGATAAAATATTTTCGGCTACTTGGCCTGCTTTCTTGTCTATGAACTTTGAAAGGTTTCGTTGTAAAATTTTAAATGATAATTTAATTTTCACTAAAAAATCTCAAATAACGAGTTTGCAATTATAATATATATATATATATATATATATATATTATTAACTTTGAAAGTAAATTAATTACTTTGCGATTCAACTTAGACTTCTGATTCCAATTAATTTTCTAACTAACTACTTTGTTTTGTACAAAATCTGGCAATGTAGAAATTTTGTATTAAAATGTTGAATTAATAGAATATTCGCTATTAAATTTTATCAGACTTTTGAAAAAATGAATAGACGTTTTTACTACAGTATTCATATAAAAAATACACTAACGCTGGTTTTTGATAAATTTCTTTCTTTTTATTGAGGCACTGTCAAAAGAAAGAAGTAAGATGCAAAAAATACATTCATATTAAATATAAAATAAAAGTTTTACAAAAAATAATTTCTTAATAATCTACGTTACCAAAATTGAATAATTAATACTTTCTGATACATTCTTTTAGCGTAAACTCGCGTCTTCACTTCCATGTTAATTTCTCTTGGGAACACTGGGTGAGGAATATATTTCAACAGGTTCTTCTATTAGGTTATATTTGCTCATGCTACAAAACGTTATACAAAATAAAAAATATTTTAATTTTAATACTATTTGCATTGTTGTGTTGTCCGATAAAAAAAAATAACCCATTAAAATTATTTTTTTTGAATTGAATTGATAATAATAATTTAAGTTTTTATATAAAATATGAAAACTTAAATTTATAATAAATGTTTTTTTCATAAAATAATTTCTTTAAAGTTATACAGAGTATTCTCGAAATTGTACAGAGTTTGAGTTTTCTAGTGTCTTGTAATAATTTTAATACTTCTCATTTAATTTATTCTTTTGAAGATATCAAGAACACGCACGCACACACACACTACACTGCAAATGTCAATACATGTGAATCAACGCGTAACAGACACACATACACACACACCTTGCTTATGACCGAAAGATTTCGCTCTTTCGTAGCCTAATTAATTATCTATATCATTAGTTAACGAACTAATTAATTAATTGAAAATATTCAATAAATTGTTATCAACTGATCCAGTTAATTGACTATAATTCATAGTGTTCAATAATTTATTAAAATACAAAATTATTGAAAAACACAGCCGGGTCCAGCTTGTTAGCATATAAAGACGCATTGTTAGTAAAAGGACACAACACAACATGTTCAGTAAAAGACACAACACAACAAACCAGCACTAATTGCATCAATCAAACAATCAAATACTGACAAATAGTTAATTTTTTTTATTTACATTTGCAAAATAGTGAACAACACGTGTTTACTCGAGTCTGGATGTAAAGTACGGCAGCAGGGCACCTGCTCCGGGACCTCCACCGAAAATGTGAGACCAACACAAAAAAATCATTGTAACTTCAATATAATTTCAATTAAATATTTGTTAAAAACACTGGTTTTACTGAATGAATTGTTAAAATATGTGGAGAAAGAAAAAGCTTTCCTCCATCCACAAATAATCAGTGACCCTCTCAAATAATAAGGGTTTCTTCGTTGTTCCAGGGCCTCCACATTTTCAAATTTGGCTATATTAAAGTTTTGTTGAAGTTTTCAATGAATTAACTTAGAATCCAGTTTTTTAAACTCAATTAAAACATTTGGAACATTTAATATTAAGAAATACTTAGGTGTATTGTAAAGCGAGTTTATTAACGTTTAAAAATATTTCAAAAACGACCGCCAGAGTGTATATGATGATTTTTTTATTTTAAAAATATTTTAAAATTTGCTTTTTATTTTATATAAATATTCGAAATCCGTTAAATGAATTTTTTTTTAAATAAATAAAAAATTTGTTAATTGAAAATTTTAAATGAATCACCGGTGTAATTGTTTTAATGAAAGTACGAAACATAATTATTATCGCATACCAGAATTCGAAAAACTGAAAACAAGAAAATTTGTAGTCTGGTGTGGCGAATAACAAACGAAAAATTAGTGTGCGTGTCTTTGTTCATGTGCCTTTGTGGGTATTTGTGTGTGTGTGTCCATGTGCCTTTGTGGGTATTTGTTTTGTGTGTGTATTCGTGGGTGTGTGGGTGCCTGTGCGTGAGTGAATGTATGTGTTTGAGTTGTGTCTGTGTGATTGTGTGTGTGTGTGTTTGTGAGTATGTGATTGCATGGGTGTGTTTACAATGATAAATTTTAGTTGCGGTGGAGATTTTTCAATTCGTGTTTCAAAAACATCAATTTGATAAAAATTTTTAATTTTAATCTGATATATTAAAAACGATCTGTTTTAGTTACATTGTATAATAATTTTTCACAATATTCGCTTCTATATCTTTCAGAAGTATCGACCAACAACAACTGACACACCTTGTACGTAAATACGCGTGAATCGGCGCACCGCACACACTTTAAATGTGATAGGCGTGGTTCTCCTTGCGTTCGAAACCAGTCACTGCGACAGCAGGACCAAGCGTTTTATCCATTATGCCATCAATAAACCGCCCAATTTTTGAAATGATTTAGACAATTTTTAAAGTATTCCTTTAGGACGAATAAACTTGAGATTTTAAAAAAGATTTTTTTGTCATGTTTTTTTATAACTCTCTTTTCCCTACGTTGTAAAAAGAACTAAAATTTTACAACATGATTCAAAACTTGAAATGTAACAATGAAAATAAAAGTTAAATTTGAAATTAAAATTTTTAAATCTTCATTACACTCCTCAAACATTCCGAGATATAAAAAGTACACAATCAGCGTGGAATAAGCGGGTTCTTCTTTTTGCTTCTAACCTAGTCAGACAGAACGAAGCAGTATCAGGCGCCCTTAAAACCTTCTTCAAAATGATGAAACTTGATTAGGCTACAAATTTTATGCCACTATCATTTTAAGCATTTTGTACTGATTTTTCTTCATCGTCATCGAGATCATAATCATCGTGATCATAATCATCGTGATAATAATCATTGTGATCATCATCATCATTAATCAGTTCGGCTACCAACAGATGACTCCATGGGACCGAACCTGATGAACAGAAACGAACTGACCTCATGGAATTATATGAGCGCTGCATTTTTCGACGATGATTGTTTGTCCCCGGAATCTTGTGCTAAAGATTCCCCCATGCACGAGAGAAAAATAAGCCTAAGCTCACCGCCATCATCTAGTCGATACGGCAGAAGTTCCAGTGATTCACCTAGACATCAAGAATTTCCACCAAACTCTCAAATGGATTCGATGACCTCACCGTCGTATTCTTTATCACCAATATCACCGAAATATTACCCAACCTCACCGTCGGGTTCACCATTATCACCACCGGCTTACTCCCCTGCATCGCAGTATTGTTCTCCAACATCATCAACTTATTTCCCGACATCACCATCATACTCATCATCATTACTAAGTTATTTGCCAACATTGCAAACATTTTCACCAAGCTACAACCCATCTAGCCCTGTTTACAGCCCATATAGTCCTCCTTACATTCCATCTACTTTTGGTTACAAACCATTTAACTCTAATTACAGTCCATCCAGTTCTGGCTCTAAATCATTTAATCCTGGTTACAATCCATTCAGCCCTGGTTACAGTTCATCTAAATTTGGTTACAATCCATCTAGCCCACGTTACCTTTCACCTTGCTTAAGTTACAGTTTATCTAATTCTGGTTACAAACCACCCAGTTCTGTTTGCAATCCATCAAATCCTAGTTACAATCCGTCTAGTCCTGGTTACAGCTTATCCAGCCCTGATTACAGTTCATCTAAATTTGGTTACAATCAATCGAGCCCTCGTTACAGGCTATCTAACTCTAGTTACAGCTCATCTAATCTTGGTTACAAACCAACCAGTAATGGTGACAATCCATCAAATCCTAATTACAATCCATTAAGTCCGGGTTACAGACCATCTAGCCTCCGTTATAGTCTCTCTAGCTCATGTTACAAACCACCTAGTCTTGGTTGAATATTGATATGCAAAAAACTTTCCAAATGTTTTAGCTTTACTTAAAAAAACATATAATTTGCCAATAAAATTGTAATTTTAAAAAATTAACTTCAACTAAAATGCAAGAAATAAAAGAAAATAATGTGCAAATAAAAAAAGGCTCAACCACTTTTACTATTTTATATTTTCTCCAATTTTGGTGTTTGTTTTAATACTGTTTTACATGCATACTATTTTGATTCAATTGAGACAACTACTAAATTTATCCAAAAAACACTTGTAGAGAGTTTTGAAAAGTAAACTGTAATGAAAAATTATAATATAAACTATAAGGTGACATGATGGCTCAATGGTTAAAGGCGTCTGATCCTGCAGTTGCACTGAATGGATTCGAATACAAAAAGATTTACGCACATTTTAAGAAATGTGTGTGATGCTTGGTTCACACGCGTATAGCCTGTGTGTGATTGTTGAATGATCTTAAAAGATCGAATTAAAAATTTTCATTTCAATACAGTTGCGTCAGTGTAAATTGTATTTTAATTATTACGCAAATAATTATATTTTTTTAAGTTACAAAACAGTTAATTTACGAAAATAATCAATAAACTGTAGTATAATAGATAATTATATCTACGCATATACAAATTTGTCGAATATTAAAGAGAAGCTAGAAAGCCTAAATAGTTAATTGCCATATGAAAAAATTATTTCAACATTAAATTTAATTAGTGACGAATGTTTATTATAGATTGACTCAATTAATTCAATGAAAATCTGGAACAAGAATGGAATACCAAATGGCCGGTGATAAATGTCAACAGTTATAATCAGAATTGTTGAGTCGCGGCATACCGCAATAAGTAATTTCAGTTATCCGATCTAAAAATCAGATTTAAAAATTTTGAATTGAAATTTTTATATAAGATCAATAAAATTGCACAATGCACAATGTTGTCAATAAAACTATTAACAAGACAAAATTGAAAGAATATAACATATTTTTATGACATATTTACTCACGCAGGTGGCATGTTGATTGTAATTTCTTCTGCCCTTTTTTTTTCAAAATTTTTTCTCTATGGCAAAAATTATTTGATGAGTATACTATGTGGAAATATAATAACTCGACTACTCATAAGCAGCACCTTCCCTTGTTTTATATCTCTCTCTCTCTCTTTTTCTCACTTACTTAACCTCAGCAATCAATCAGACTGTAATATCATATTCGCAGAGAACGCAGAGAAAAATGAAGCATTCCTGGTCATCCCAACCAAAGTATCTGAACAGGATGTTTTGCACGCAGTACTCTGTTCCGTCTGCCAGTGAATTTGGTTGTCCACTATGCCAGGCACTCGTGTTTTGAATTAGTTTAAGATGTCTTTTTGGAAATTTATTACAAATTTAATCAAACGATTTTTGATACAAAGTTTGTGCTTCTACCATATTAATAATGCCTTTTACGCTCAATGATTTTTGCTGTTGAACTGCTCTGTTAACTAAAACCGTCATCGAGTTTTCTATGTTTATAAATTCACGAAGATAAAAAATTCTATAACAATTCACGTGCTTATAGAAAAATTTGTTATAACTCGTAGTTTTAAAACTCTGCTCAAAACTAAGATTTCCGTTAAGAGCAATATCCATGCATTTTCAATGAAGTATTTGACATGGACGCAGAATCCAAAAAAAGTTGACTGTCGGTTGTGTTCAGGTTTGGAATTATCGTCTCCTTTTTAAGTATATAGTGTAACGAATGTATTCTGGAACATCACATCTATGAGATTCTATATGTTTATTTGTCATTTAATTTATATATTAAAATGTATTCGAGATTGCGAATCAAAAAAAGTCTATATTTTAACGTTATTAAATTGCAAAAACATGAACATTTCCATAAGCATCAAATACTTAAAAATTGAAATGAGTAAAATTAATCATCTAGCAGACTGTAGCGAGAGAAAAAAAAACATTAAAATCAGATATTGCGTTTCAAATGCAGCTTGTAACGTTAGGTTTCACTTGAATACTTTTGACGTAAAAACGTTTAAAAACTGGTTTGTTCTTCTTGTTTTTTTCATCGTCGTCATCGTGATCATTATCATCGTGATCATCATCATCGTGATCATAATTAATCATACTGGCCACCAATTCTATGTCACTTCCATCATCATAATCA